GCGCGAGTATGCCGGTGGAGCGCTCGCGGTAGCGTATGAGCGCTGCCGCCTAGCGCGTAGCCTTCGCTACCGCGGCCGCTCCAACGGTCTACGCGCGCTCTGATTGGTCGGGGTTTTCCGTTAATATCTCCTTAACGAAGCCCCATCCGACATTTTTGCAAAGGAAATTGTTGTTCAAAATCTCAGCTACCCCCCATTTCCGGCTCCTCCCCGAGTTTTGGGACACCCTGTATAATTTAATGAAAACTGCGTAAAGAATGAATTAGGATTCAACTAGAGTTTGGAGGTTCCTATGGTAGGTTGGCATGCGGTAATCGTGCGTGTAAAATCGCATAAAATCCACGTGGCGACCAGTGACCCAACTAACGACATGTCCACGGGTATGGCGGCAGCCTGTGCCGAAGAGATCAACGTTGATCGCAATCGGCCACAGAGCTAACAAGAGAATCCTACCTGCAGCTTTGGCTCTGTTTCTCCATGTCTCGCGTGTTTGTGCCTGCCTATTAACCGAAGCGAATATTACACGTTTCCATCGATATTCCGGCAAGTCCTCCAATATTAAATCGGAGATACCGTTGCAAACTGATTTTGCACCTGTGCTGCGGCTCGGTTACGACTAAAATGCACGACACGGTACTTTGTCGCGTACGAACAAAAATAGCTAACGAAACTTTGACGAATCGATCGTCGCGATATCTCATTTTCCGATTATTCCTTAATTACCGCGCAGAGCGAGATGGTTGCGGATCGGAAAACAGGTTTTCTGCATTAAAACGCGATCGACACAGCGAGAACTATTCTTTTCCTCTCTGTCCGCGAACGCATTTTGACTTTGCAAAATCGGCCAGAATTTCGAAACATACCGAAAATTAGCCCCTTGAGATAGGCAACCAGTGCTTACAGTTATGTCGGACCGGTTGCCTGCTTGCAGGCGCAAACGTGCCACCTTTTCGCACATCACGTTCTCCTGATACCAAAATGCAAACTCGGCCAGAATTTCGAAACGCTCCTCCTTTAATTAAAAGTAGTTACCAAGGACGCTTGAATCAATTCAAACAGAAACTTTAATCACTTTACAACATTGTGGATTTTCAAGAAAAGTTGAAATCTTTCGTTTCGTTTCGAAATTGTCATTTTTCTTACGAATTTTAACGCAAGGTCTAATTAAAAGACGCAACAACAAGTTACAGAACGGACCGAGCGACAAAGATTTCCACAGAAAATTCTCGATAATTTCTTCGTGAATTGCTCGACTCCCGTTTCGCGAGAGACTTTCTCGATCATTATTTACTCGATAATTACTCGCGCAAATTTGCTCTGTAAATTTCAGAGCGACGCGTTCCGTACTTATTCGCGTACTGTTCGTTTCAAACGTAGACGATCCCGATCATGGGTGACGAGTCGACGAGCGACCTCTGTCGGTAATGCAGAGAGAAGGGAAACAAGCGAAATAAACAAACGAGGAACAAAGAATCCTACGAATATCGTTTTTTGTCTGTGTCTCATGGCGTCCGCGACGCTCTAAACGTAAATAGCGTATATCGTAATCACAGTTTCGTCCTGCTACGGTAAATCGGCATCGAAGAATCAGTTTGACGACCAAGCTGATTCCAGTGTGGAAAAGCGTGACTGTAAATCTTGTAAACCGGGTTTCGTCGAGGACGTACATTCAAACAGTTCGGTAAGTCTGCAATCATTTCTGCTTTATCAGAACAATCATTCTTTTGCCTTCGAATTTACTACGTTAGCCGATCTGTACAGGAGGAATTAAAAATCTCGTGGTTAAAAAATACCGTGAAATTAAAATGCTAATTTCGAATGTACACGGTTGGCACTCGCCATTTTTAACGATGTTGTAATTGGAAATGTAATCGAGGTTCAAAAGGTTAAAAAAGAAATTCGTTGCTGGCGTGCGTAGTCGTAAGCAATACGTATAAATTACTGAGAAAATTGTGTCATAGCAAACACTTGCGACTCGGTCGAGATAATTTATCAGTGATACGAAATATGCACCGTGTTCTAAACAAGGCTAAATAATTGATAACGAGAGATAAGTTTCAGGGGAATTTCTCGGCACCGTCGACCATCATTCTACCGAGCGTAAATGGAATTTCATATGGACGCGTCACATAACACAGTCGCGCAATAAAAATCCAATGCATTTTGCTCGGAAAACCGGTTTTCAGTCGCGAAAAGGAAACTCGAATAATGGTTGGAATGATTCGATAACAAAAGTTAAATAACCGTGACAATAAAACTGATCGGATAGCAATAACTCAGTAAAATAAAAATATGCAATTAAATATCGCATAGCCATTTTAACATTATGCCAATATAACATTCTACGTTTACATTAATTTCTGTTTCTATTCAACAACTCGCTCGATCTATTCAAATAGAAAATACATACATGTATCTAATCGTGTGAAACCTCTTAATCTCACCTTTCGATCTCGATTAATCCCGCTTGATTCGTATACTTGTAAGTACGAACCTCTACAGTTTTCCCATTTTCTTCTGCGACAACGTTCAGCAAAAATCAACAATCATTCGATATCAGCCAATCGCACACACACACACACACACACATCTACAAGAAAATCATTTCAATTAAATGATAAACGATATCGAGAATTCGTAAGGCACAAATAGACTCGCAGTGACTCAGGGCGTCTCCGCCATTTGCAATAACAAAATCACGTGAGCTCGATGCGCGAGCATCGAGTGGACTGCACATGCGCAGACGAGCCAGCGAACAGGCGGGTGATTACCAATCTCGCACATGCGTTCAAACTCTTCAAACGAATCTAGTCGCGTTCCACGGTAGTTTCCAGTATCTCCTAAGGTTCTACAGTGTTGTCGTCCGTCGCTATCAGTAGGAAATAATCACAGAGAAAATCCTCGAGTGCCACGTAAACCGGTGAGTGATAAAAATAACCAAAGGAAAATTTTAATAAATAATTAATGGAGAGCGAATAGTGCCGTCGTGAACTGCCCACGTGTGATCGGAATACGTATACGATATATTTTGCATACGTGACACGATTCTACCTAAGCGAGCTGCTTATACAACGTATCGCAGAATGGGAAACATTCAAGCTCTCTTATTGGCAGACTCAGCTGACATTAAACCGAGATAGCAGCTGTTAGATTAATTTTTTATTGGCGTTGATGACGTAGTGTGAATTCTTGCTACGGACGATAGTATCGTTTATTTCCTATAACGTGCGGATCTATTTCTGTTCCCGCTTCTGGTTATATTAGGTAAATATTTTTATCGCTTCGGCTTTATCGTGGCTTCGCGACGTGTGATTGGATTCGATCGGAAAAGAATATTGGTTTGTTTCTTTATCCTTTAGCGTTCGTTACCTGTCTTGCCATTTTATCTTCGTCATGCTTTTACTATACCAATATCGTAATTAATATCGGTAATTATAGAGAATGGCATTCCTTTTCGTCGGATCACGTGTTCTCGCTTGTTCATTTTTCTTCGTTCGGACGTGTTTATGTTCTCTGTTGTAATCAAGGTCGACCTTGAATCTTCTCCTCTATACGCGTATCAAAATATCTCGCACATCTACAAAAACTATGCGTAATCGTTCCAAACATTGCCTAGCAGGAAATTTCATCTCGAAGCTTCGTATTTACGCGAACGTTTACACTTGAAATTTGCCTATCACGCGACTCGGTATTTACTTATAATTTCCACGAAATATTTCTTTTAATAAAGAACAAATTATTTACTATTTTATATATTATTTGTTTGTTCGCACTTGTATTTTAATCACGGCTAGGAATTTCGTACGGATAATAATAATTCGAATAAAAACTGGCGAGTATAAATAAAATAAACCGTTATTTTTAAAAAAAATCGAAATCCAGATTACGAATACTTGGCAACGTCGTTAACCGAATATTCGATTATTCGAAAATAGGTATAGCGTTCTAACAAAGAAAGCTAGGATATCTAAATTTTTCTGTGCGTTTTTTGCAGATTTATTAGCAGATTATAGCAAACATGGTATCATCGACGGCAATGGGAAATAACAAAGCCAGTTCTCCCGCAAAACCGTGCGCGGTCGGTATCGGTTCGGGCAATTATCAACTAGTCGGATGGGACATGGACACGACCGGCAAAAAAGTTATAGACGAAATATGCCAAATAGCTGTGTACACCCCTACTTGTTCCTATTCTCAGTATGTAATGCCATATAAGAATCTTAATCCTCCAGCAATGAAGAGACACAACATGAGAGTTGTAACAATGGGAAAGTTTCGCGTACTTAAAGACAGTAAAACTAATAAGGTAAAACTGATAATTATCAAAATGCCCGAAAATTAAGGGATTGTTGGTTTTCCGTTTGTTTGTATTGGATTCTATGGCTTTTTTGCAGGTATTAAAGAGCAAGAGTGAAATCTCTTCGTTAACCGATTTTCTTACTTGGCTGGAGACTATCAGAGGCGATGCAAAGGATGGAATAATATTAGTCTACCATGAACCCCGTAAAGTTATCCCTGCGATGCTACTTGAATCCTTAAAAAAGTATAATCTTTTGGAGAAATTTAAAGAAACTGTAAAAGGATTTGTGAATGGATTCAATGTTGCAGAAGCAAAATGTGAGAACACTGTTCGTTCCTATTCTCTCAGGACATTGTCGAGAGCTTTACTCAATCAAGTAAGCAAATTATGTTCTAAAAAAGTTTTAATGAATAAAATAGCTTTCGTATAACATACACAGTCAGTGTAATAAGTATATTCGTACAGGTACCCATTTATTTAAAATTGGTTGCTATACGAATACTTGTTACACTGACTGTCTATATTGTTGTACATGTTTAGGAGAAAAGCTTACCAAACACTTTTCTTAATTTAAGGAAAAGGAGTTGGATAATGCGAAAGATAGAGCATGTCTAGCTTTGCAAATAGTTCAGCATTTGAGTTCGTTAGAACCAGCAAATGGAACCGAAGCGAATGGCAGTGGCGATGGTGATAGTACTGCGAAGAAAACTGTAGAATTTATTCGAGAGTACGTTCAACCGGTGGAAGTCGAAGAACGCGAGTACGCAGGTATACAAATAAATCGATCTTTCGTTTACTTCAAAGTGGAAATTATTATATTATACATATGAAAATTATTATTCGAAGCTTAATTATGTAATGCACTGGCTTCGTTTCAGAACTGAAAATAGTATTCGAACGTCAAAATAGTTTGAGACCTATTTTTGGAGTCCTATTCCGTGAGAATCGACGGGAACGTCAACATGCCAGTCCTCTGCGAAGACTACTTGCCGAAGCGGGAATAGAATATTCCCAATTACAAGTATGTACAACATTCCTTAGCATTTCGTCTCGTTTACCAAAAGATTCGTTATTTTCTATAATAATTTTTGTTGAATTCACAGGAAGCTTGGAGCAATGGGAAGAGAGAAGGCCTGGAGGAATTAATCAAAGATAAATTAACAACAGCGGAAGACAGGAAGATAAAGGATCTGCTGATTGTTCTCGAAGGTCACTTTGACCCAGACAAGAAACCTAAATCAAGGGTATCACAGGAGAGAAATGAAATGAAAATGAAGCATTCAAAAATCAGATATGACAAAGAAAACAATAATAAGAGTGACTCTAGTACTGAAACCTCGGACACAATTAATTGTAGTTCACCGCTCAACGGGAAGTCGGAGTCTGAGAATAGTACAATTATAGCGGAAGAATAATATAGTTGCATCTTTCGGTACTCTTAATTAATTATCAATATAATCGATACTGTTATCAGTAATCGAGCTTCAAGTCATTCCGTTTATTATAATTATTATTATTAATATTACGATAGCGTTGTTCGTGCGTGATAAAGTATAAGTGTTATTTGTTGCAGTATTGTATTTAAGTTTTATTTTTGTTATAAGTATATATATTATATCCGTATGGGATATAGAACTTGACTTATTTAACAAACGCACAAATGTACAAATAATACAGCGATTACTTTTAGTTTTGTGATAACGAAGAGGTTTAATCATTTTTCTTTTGTTTAACGATTAATTCTACGCTCATTATATTTTATTTAATCAGATCGGAACTGAAGAAACTTATCTGCAATACTTTTTCTTTCATTATTCTGAGATTAGCATATGTTTTTTACTTATTATTAGCTCGCGTACAAAGCGCATCATGATATTAAATAATATATATTTTTGTACCGCAAAGTTTATCTAAACGAGTGATGCGCTTGTTACATTTTGCAGAGTTGCAATAATTTAATAAAAACATAAAATTCTACTTTAGGACTTGAATCATTTATGTCATCCTTGTACGGTACTTCGTTCTTTTTTTTAAATTTGCACCAATAATTCCTGAATTAACAATAATTGTATATAGACTGATAAAGACAAAAATGAATTAAATATATGAATGCCTATGCAGTGGACCGTTGTATCCGCTTATGGACTTTCATGCCAAAAGGCCTCCAAGCGTGAACAGGATAATGCATAGCATAGCACAGAAGATTCAATATTCACTTCCTAAGCAAAGGAAAATTCCTAGGATCATTTGGAATGAAGCAAAACTTTGATTTCTGCTAGAACTTCAGGAAGACGTTGACGCATTCGCTGAAAAATGATCGCTATACCGTTGGAAAGAATTAATGCTTACTATGGTAACACGTTTGGTTTTTTCTATCAAACACGAGTACTCTGCGCACACAGCGTGCCCGGCTACGTAACGTAATGCAGTTTCAGTTTTTAGCGTCCGACACTTTCCTGATATGCATGTAACGGATGTATTTTCCGTCCTGAAGCGTGACAAATGGTAACGGTCAACGATTATTGCTAAAACCTCTCCAGAACAAGCCGAGGTAACAAAGTAATTGCTAAGAGTACGCGTGCCGTAATTGAAACGGTTACCTCGTTAAAAGACCACGCGTTGCGGCGCCGGGCAAAACGAATCGATTTGATTCTAACCAGAAAGCAATCGTTTCGCGCAGTCGTCGACAATCGTTCAACAGCCTTTATAGAAATCTAACGGACAAGCAATTTTCCGGGGAATCCCGGTGCGTTTCAATGCGTGACATAGCACTATGCTCCATCAGTCACTCAGCCGGTGACAACTACAATAAACGCGAACGACGTCATTTTCGCTTTTTATGCGAGCATCTGACGCGACGATGAAAGCACTATTACAGTAGCGAAAAATAAAACCGAAACTTGGTTGCTTCAGCATCGTTACAAGTTTACAGAGTGAAGAAGGGAATCGAGTTATTCAGAGCATTAAATGATCGAAGAAGAACTACAGGCACGAGCCGCGAGTCAGTTTAGCTAGAGAAAAAAAGAATATTAGATCAGAGACGAGATGGCAACTAAAATTCATTGATATTTAAATAAAAAGCGTTAAGGATAAGGATGAATTAACCATCCACTTAAAAATTCACTCCATTGAAAATTTGATGACATTTGATTGGAATAATAGATGAGAAATATAATTAAATCAAATATATGGCTAGGCTGGTATATATACGATCGCGATGTATAATATATGTATGTATACGTATATAAATTCATGTTTCATTGAAGAATATCCGTTCGAGGCCATCGCTGGCCACCGCGAAGAGGATGGTAAAGATGGTTGTTAGCAGAGGCAGCAAGCATGCATTAACAGTACTCTGGATGGGCCGGTGGTTCTCTGATTCCTTGATTTCCGTTCCTCCCCTCCCAGAAGACAGTACCCGTTGAAGGAATCTGCCACGGAAGGGAGAATTCTTACGTGATACACGCGCCTCAGTTCACCGGGAACCCTCGACAAAATTGCATCCCCGACAGTGCGATTTTTTCTTCAAAGTGTGTTTTAGTTTCTCTGTGCCTTCGGGAACCAAGAACGAGGATAGTGAAGAGGACGATCAAGAAGATCATGTTGACCGTCCTGATCGCTGGATTCTGCACGGTGGGTACCAGCTACGCATACTTTTCTTTTCGCTCAAGATTTCCGCGAACCTATAGCATACACAACGAACATATAACATAAGACAACGTAGAAGTATTTCATTTAGAAATTAATTTAAGGATTTTAAAATTGAATTTCTTTCTAGAAGCAGAAATAGAATTTAATACTGTCGACGTTTTATGTTAGTACTGAAGATAAGGATTTTAAAATTGAATTTCTTTCTAAAAGCAGAAATATGTATTACGTTTGGTATTATTTCCAAAAGTAGAAATGTTAAACTGCGAGAATAGGAATATTGAAATTCAAGTATTCGATCAAACGTTGTTAGATAAATTCTGGAATGGACAAGTTTCCAATTTCTACTCGCCACCAGAATTACCCAAGCCTGATTTGAGTGAATGAATGAGTACGTTTTATCTATAAGAGTTGTGAGAGGTCTTCATTATTTTCTGGGAGTGTCAGGAGTCCGTTGAGGCCTACTGGTTCACCTGTAGCTCGGCTACCTCGGGATCGCTAAACCCGTACTGTAGCTACATTTCAAAATTAAACATAGCTACAGCCCCTGACAACCTATAGACATTTTAAACATATATACATATAACACCCTTATAATTAGATACTAGAATATAAATACATTTTCTCTATGTTAATGGGGATTATTTCTATCTATATAAATAAATATACCTTTATGATAAACGATTTTATCAGCGTTTACCGTATGACTCGCCCAATCTTGAAATCTCGACTGACCTACCTTGAAGAAGTAACCATAACCTGTACCACGATTATCCGTGTGGCTGACCGTGCGATGGGCAGCCTGTATGGCACGCATAACGAATATTTTAGGCGGGCATCAGAGCGTTTCTTTACACCGTTACTCGCATTGGAATCTGTTCTGCTCGCTCATCTGTTGGTCACCTTCCTTCTTGTCGAAGGCAGCTCCACAGTAGGCAATAATATCTTAAAAAGGAATCTTGAAGGTGATCTGCGTTAATTATAATTAAATTAATACGACCTTTATATCGTACCGTTTAATTTCGTGTAACATTTATGGTATACATTATTTATCAAAATAACACGAATACTTTCCTTTCAGTTTTTTCATGTGATGTAGAAATTATTTGTACATTGTAACAAACTACTTGGAAAAGAGTACTTCATAAGTCAGCAGAGATGTAACAACGCTGTCCCTAACGATAAACAGTATGTACTTGGAGAATGCCTGCAGAAAATATCCTTGAAAATCAATATCCAAAAATCCCTAATATTTCATCTGTGGTAGAGGTCCTTTAGACGGTCATATCTATTCTCAGTTCAGTTTCGGTTTCCGTTATCGTTTCATTTCATTTCAGAAAACTAGATTCTTTTTGTAACCCATTCACTTGCGCGCAAAAATTAATTAATTAAAAGTGTTCAACATATACAGTCAGTGTAAGAAGTATTCGTACAGCAACCAATTTAAAATAAAATTAACAGGAAAAGAAATAAGAGGCTAACATTAAACGTTAATTTAAAACTTTAATTTACGAAAATTCTGCTCTAAAAATATGTAGAGATGTAGGGCAATTATTTCTTCTTCTGAAATTTATCAATAAAATAAATACAAAAAGTATTATTTTGAATTGGTTTCTGTACGAATACTTGTTACACTGACTGTATATTGTTCATTCTGGTTTAAGACTGTACATTTGTGGTATTATAATTCATAGATGAAGACTGTCTCAACAGCTTTAGTTTTGGTTCTGAAGAAAAAGCTTAGACATACGTACACCATACAAAATTTTCAAGAAACAAATAAGTCTATCAATCCTGGCAGTTCTCAGTCTCCGTTTCAGTGTTCCTTCCACTCTTTCCATTGAAACTGAAACTGAGAATAGATACGACCGTCTAAAAGGACCTTTACACCTTAATGTGGTACTGTTACAGGTTGCAGTCACCGTCGCCCAGGACTACGAAGTCTCTGACATTCAATGCAGTGGTGCAGGATCAGCAGCCGATCTGCTCACTGCAAAGATTAAAAGGCCGGTAAACTTCAGAGGGGCACCGCTCTTTGCCGACGACAGATCCGCCAATCCTCTCACCGATATTCATTGCCAGATCAGACCAGATCCCAACGATCCTCAGGAAGACAACTACTTCCTCAAGGTGACCGACTTCTCCAGATGTGGCATTCTAAAAAGAAACGTGAGAGAAATATATAATACCTTTCTTAATAAAAAAACACCAACATAAATTACATGTTGCATGTTGAAAACGTTTGGTACTGTCATTAGGGTTTCATTCACCTGCGAATATGGTTCCCAGCATTTCCAGGCGTGGTAATGCTAGCTGACCAAGAACTAATCCTGATGTGTCGACCACCCGAGCCAACGTTATTGAGACACAAAGCTGCAGGTTTCGCTGGCACATTGTGAGTATCCATTAGATTTAGTTAGATTTTAAGAAACGCTTAAACGTCCTGTAATTTCTCTATTTTTCAGTCCGCATGGCGCGAGAGTATCCGGGGTGGTCGAAGAGACTCCAGGACGTTTGGAGTACGAGGTGGCTCTTTATCGAGAAGCTACAGGCAATAACACATCGGATTCGTCAGGATCGCAAACCGTGGATCAAGCAGTTCCTATAGGGACGAAACTCCAGCTGAGAGCTCGAATCAGTCCCGATAGCGCGTGGGGTTACATTAAACTGTTGGAAGTGACTGTTAGCCCTGATCCTGATCAACCTCACGCGCCAGGGAGCGTTGTGCTAGTCAAAGATGGCTGTAGAAACCGAGACTTTGCTTCGATAATTCCTCATCAACCAGCTCGATATCGAGAGAGGAAGAACGAGGTTTTTCTCGACTTCGAAGCCTTTCTTCTGAGCTCCATGAGGGAACGATCCACTTTATGGATACACTCGCAGATTAAGGCCTGCATGGAACCACAAGACTGCCAACCGGTAAGTTGAATACAAAGAGTTAGAGAGAAGAATCAGAGTGAGAAATATTTTGATTAATTTGTGCTCTCAGGATTTCTGTCTGGATCTCTTCGAACCATCAGGACATGGGAAAAGAAGAAAAAGGACATTGGAAGTGGCGAGTGAACACCTTTCAAAAGACAAGCGTTCTATAAAAGAATACAACGATTCAACTCCCTTTACAAAATTCAAAGAGAACATCGAGTACACGGTAATGATGCCTAACGGTGAGTATCGAGATACATAACTCCAACATTATCTTTACGATTACAGTTACTTTTTATCTTTTTCATTTTTTAGATCTGTACCAGAAAGTTGCTGCTGGACTTGAAAACAGTTGCGGGAACTTTCTCTACGTGGCAACTGGTTTAGGTGTCCTTCTCGTTTTATCAGCGCTTATCATGTGCTATCTAGCTTCTCGTTTGCATAATTTGTCATCGACGACATCCCAGAACAAATCAATTGATGAACTGATAAGAGATCGGGCTAGAAAGTACTCGGAAACAACGCCAGGATACACTGGTCGATCCACGGTACAATAATTAGATCAAATTGTTGCCAATTATCTTGCTTAATTGGATCCATCAATCCACAGATTTTGTGTAACGAAAGCACGTTTTATACAACCAATTGCACGAACAACTAATTTCTTCATGTTTCTCATGTTAAATGTTTGCGACATACAGTCAAGTTACTTCTTCTTCCCCTCAGCATAACGTAATTGTTATTAACAAGTTTTTGTTAAACGTGCAGTGCTATTACGTGACCTGAAATAGTGCGTACATTCATTTATAATAATAATTCTAGATTCATTGTAGAATAATCATTCGCACCCAGGTTTTTGGGGCTTATTAGCTGCGTAATTTAAACACCATGTACATATACACACGAGATAAATTATTATTTATTATTTGTAAATGAAATGTCATAGTCTAATCGGGAACGAAATTACCCAATAGATATTATTTATTAGACTATTTGAAATTGTGTACACAACCGCGTGGATTTGATTGCATTAGGAATACCGAGTCACAAGTGGAAAAATAAACCAATTGACTGACTTCATAACGTTTTATATCGTATCATGCTATTACATTCCCATAAATATAAATACATAACGTGACGCACAATAACACTGAAATGGAATTAATCTGGTATCGAAACACATAGCGAACAATTTCGGTAATAAACGAAGCAATCGGGTATACGCATGCAAACAAATAAAATTCTTTTCCAATCTTTTTGTCGCTTCTCGTTCAGAAAATAATGCAACGCTACGTTACGATACGTGGCACCTACGTTTTATTCGATAACATTAACAGTATACCTATACATATTTTCCTTGTACAATTGTTCGCTTGTATTAATTGCATACGTATGTTTAACGGTAACGATTACAAGTATTATCCTTCGTTTGCACGATAAATGCATACAGGTACTGCACGATGAGCTTTGCTATTATAAAAAGAGTATAAATTTCAAGTTTCAATAGATACATTTATACAAAATCAACAACGATTGCTAAACGATTTAAATAATTTGTTCATCTTTTGCGAGATCTTTAGACTATGAGGTATCATTTATGACTATCGATGTCGGGACATCGTACTTTGTAATATACCATAGTTTTAACTCTTGAGCGATCGCAAAGGACTATTACCATTTTATTCGTATTCGTAGTGTTACGTTGAATAGTTTAAGATTAAAAGAAAAACTAAATACTTCACTTATTACAACTTCTAAAAATACCCAATATTGTAAATTAGGTATTAATAAATAAAATCACAATACTCCATTTCAGAATTAATAATATTTTACGTTTAAAGGTACAATTTTTATTTCGAGATTTATTTACACATTTACTCGTTCCCTTTTAATTTCTATATTTATATAAGAAATCGAATGACATTTACGAAAATCCCGAACTAAAAAATGTACTCTTTGGTTTCAACTATCTCGTCGAATTATAATAGTTACAAATTGATGCAGGTTAATCTAATAATAAAATAATACAAAACTGCCAGAGTTAGTCGTCTAGAATTTTTCATTATTTGCACAACAATAAAACCGGTGTAAAAAGTTCATAAACTATACAAGTAAAATAATATATGTCTTTGTAAAAATGCAACGTGCGTATGACGATAAAAGCATTTCAACGTTTAGGTCGTCTTTTCCTGTTTTTTATACAGATACCTACATCTATGCGTAAGAAAATTATTGAAGAAAAACAAAGATTAAAACTTTGTCGATTGTAAACTATTTCTTCTAAATTATGCGTGTCTTTATCACTATATTTCCTTCCTTGTTAAATCACTAGGAAACGAGAAGTAACCGTCTGATTAATACTTTTAAATATCTAATGTAATGGTACATATTCAAGCCGTTGGATAAAATATAATATGTTAAACATTGCTGCGATACCCTATTTACAAGTGTCTCTTATTAAAATACGAGTATCGTACGCATCGAACGATCAAACTGAACTTAGTTCTGTATTTTTTTTTGCGATCTCACTAACGCTTCGTGAGCTGCCAGCTCTTTCTTCTCCTTCCTCAAATTTCTATTCTCAAATTCCAGCCTGCAATTAAAGACTGTGTCAAAGCATAAACCTTTTAAAAATTATTTTCACATGCAATACTAAAATGTCTGTTACTCTACCAAGTAACCATGTTACCTCATGCGTGCGATATACATATATAAAGCTAACATACCTATGAAGAATGATACGTTGAACAATTTTGTCTGTGGTCATATCGTTACCGCTATCCAGCAATTTGAATTTATTTTGCCTTTTGGGTTCAGCGTACGGATCGGAACCATCTTCGCACGACATTATAGAAGTCTGACCATGACAAACGACGGAAACATCAAAGTGTTCCATTAGATCTTTGGTAACTTCGTAGGGTGCACCGATTACTACTTCGTTAACATACTGTATACAAACCGAATAGTATGTTTTAGGTTAACTATGCTCAAACTATCCCATCTAGTATCTTATTTGTAACTGTATTCCGGAGTATTTCCGAGATAGTACTTTGTTTCTTACCTTGCAAGCTAATACGCTAAGCACTCTTTCGTGGAGATTCATAATTGGATGGTTACCACATTTATACCGATTAACTACCGGGTCCGTATGAAGCCCGACTATGAGATAATCACCCTCCTTTTTCGCAACTTCTAGGAAATCTAAGTGACCGACGTGAAAGAGATCAAATGCCCCGGCAACGTAAACAATCTTATCTCCTGGCTGTGGACTCTTTCCGTCGCTAAACTGAATAATCTTTTGCGTCGTAGGCAAAAATTGAGAACAACCTGTCCATGGACTACGGGCAGATCGATCTTGACCCATACTTTTACTAGGCTCTCTGTCTACGCTGTACTCGCTATCTCCTTGTTTGAAATGTTGCCTTGTCATTAGAAGCATACGCCCTACTAAATCAGTTGTTGACACACCAGCTGTTCTTTGTACCTCTCTATAATAACCATATGTGTATACATTTATATCGACAGGTATCCCTGTATTACGTGGTCGGGTGAAATATACCTGTAACGACCTGCTGCTTTCACCAAATGGTACGTGTCTACACCATCCGCTGTCATGGTAATATCATCACCATGAACACAAAAATCACAGTTGTATTTGTCTAACGTCTCTAAAGTTGTAACATATGGTGCCCCTTCCACTACCTCGTCTACCCATTTAATACCACGGACCATTTTGTACCTGACAAGAAATTCTACTTTGCCAAACAAGAAATAATTGTATATATTATTCTAAAAGCATCCTATTACTTTCACTAAAGCAATGTTTTGGAAATGTATAACTAATTATGACAATTTTAGCAAACACTTGCAACTTGTTTCCCTTCAATGAAAACATACCTCTCTTCTTCCATAAATACTGGTGGTCCTTTATGTTTAGTAATTTCTTCGTCTGTATGTACACCGACAACTAGATAATCGCCTAACGCTTTTGCCTGTCGTAAGGAATTTGCATGGCCAAAATGTACCATATCGTAACTGCATCAAAAGAATAATTTCTAAACTTTACTTGAAAAGATCAAACATACTTCCACCGATATAAACTATGAAAAGTTATAGCATTAGGAATGTTACGCATAGATTTACACAATGTAACTTTAATTTTCAAGTGCATAACTTTGTTAAATTAGACTGAATTTCGTAACGTAATGTGTACCTTGATTACTTTATTAAGTAAAATTGTAAAGTGTCAAAGTATTAAGATTACTAATATATGGCATACTATCACAGAAAAATGAAAGTCATTCGGTGATTCTGAACAGGTACGTTAATAAAAACTCACCATCCATCGCACCAAACTCGTACTTCCTTGCGACTTTCTGTCATAATGAGGAAAATTCCGTTCGACAATCAGCACAAGCAAACGGAAAATAACCTACAAACACAACACCTGCTAGTCTCAAGTCTCGAGTGTCAAGTATCAAGTCTCAAGTCTCAAGTCTCGAGTCTCGAGTCTCAGCTGTCTCGATTTAGGGAAGTGCACTGCGACTATTGCGACTTGCGACTATTGCGAGTTTTTTTGACACGCATACTTCCGACCATTACATGACACGATAAATCTACTGTCACAGAACAGACGAACTACAGACTTCAAAGCGATCCCAAGTTTCCCCAGATAAAGCGTTAAATTACTATAACGGTGTCATCTGGCGTATCAGTTTCGCAATCATTAGAAATCTACGAAATTCACCGGTAAGGGGAAGGGGGAGCTTAACTGATCACCACGTTCGAACTCCGCGTGCTCCTCATAGTATGAATGAATCACTGAAAAATATGTTATTGTACGTAGAGAGTCCAAGCTCGCGTATTGAAAGTTGGTACAAAGTTTGTAGCGCCATGTGGGAAAAATTCACCCAATTAAAATGCGGAGCGCGCGCGCGTACATGAATATATACAGGGTGTCCCAAAAATGTTGTAACACCTTGAAAGAAGTGGTTCGTGGAAGGTGATTTGAAACAACTTTTTCCTTAGCGAAAATGTTGTCGGAGGCTTCGTTAAGGAGATATTAAGAGAAAACATTGACCAATCAGAGCGCGCGGATACCGGTGGAGCGGGCGCGGTAGCGAAGGCTATACGAGCTAAGCGGTTCAAGGTGTTACAACATTTTTGGGACACCCTGTGTATACAGTAACGGGTTTTTTTAAATTGCTTTAAATTATTTGAAAGAAAGTAAACCAGAGAAAGTGCGGACGCAGCTCGAAGGATTTCCATCATTTCAGAAATTATACTTTTCGAACTGCGTCTACACATTCCCTAATTTATATAACTTAAATAGAAATAGAATCAATTCAATCAATTGCGTTGATTCTAATTTCAAGTTACCATATTTTCATTTACTCGTAAACGAGAAAGATTGCAGCCATGGGGTCATATATGCATACACGCGCATGCGCTCCACATTTTAGTTGTATGAATTTTTCCCACGTGGCGCTACAAACTTTGTTCCAACTTTTAATCCGTGAGTGCACGCGAGCTTAGACTCCCTGACTGTATGTATTCGTATGGCAGCTGTCGCAGTGTATAATATAAACAAATAGTGGATAGAACTTACGTTTTTTAAATTAACAAATAACGACTGTAAATACAATTCAAGAATCATAACTGATGTACTTTCGTAACCCAAAGGAGTTGGGTAGAATTATCCTGTTGTTGGTAAATATTATTTACTTGTGCGTATTTTTTTTAAATAGTTTGACGGTTAAATAACTTTTTTTTCATCTAACTATAAATTCAAGACGCTTTTTAATTATTAAATTTAAAATTACAAAGTAAATTACCCAAGATCGTGAGGTGCTATATAATAAGCTTTGAGTTTAAAATAATATATCGGTATTATGTTTTCAGATTCAACGTGAGAGGTAAAAGAAGGTATCGATATTTAAGCGAACGAAAAAGCTAATAATACTAAATGTACAATGACTAAATTGACCAAAATAAAGTTTAGGGATCAAATGAAATCCAACAAAAGCAAATTGTCAAATACCGTTTCTATGAAACGTGGCAAAATGAATAAGAGCAATTTAAACTTGGTCGAGCGTGATAGTTACTTGGTCGGTAGTAATATTAACATTGAAACCGTTACAAATAAAGAACAAAATGTTTTACACGACAGAAAAAAATGTTTCAACGATAAAGTTACAAAGAAACACGGAAAGAAGAAAACGATGAAAAAGAATGTAACTGCTCCTATTACAGAATTGAATTCGCAAACATCTGAAATTGTACCAGAATTATGTAACGAGAAACTTAATGCTAGTATACTTTGTACTAATTCTAATAAAAAGTCGCACGAGTTTTCAAATTCTGTTGAAAATACCATCCTTTCTAATTGTACAATTAGAATGTCTGTAGAATCAAATAAAAGAAGTTTAACAAATGTAGTACAAAAATATAGAACTAGACTCAAAAATAAACAGAAGAATCAAGAAATGATACAAACAGAACCCGAAAGAAGAATACTTGAATACTATCAAAAAGATCATAAGACTAGAGAAACCAAAAATAGTACTAAAGCATCGAATACAATTAATACAGTCGTGTTAGGACAAGACAGTTTAATACCTCCAGAAGAGAAACATACTAGTCGTTTAGTAAAAATGCAAAACAAACGAAAAGTAATAGAGAAAAATGTAAACATTAACAATGCTCAATTAAATGTACAATCACCTAGACTATTGAGGTCCTCGAGAAAAAGGGATCAAGTTCTGGAAGAGGGAATATTTGAAATATCAAGAAATAATACCAACAATACAAAAACTGTACTCACACTACAAAATAATATATCGACTAATTGTAATCGGCAGCACGAGGAGCATACTTGTTACAGAGATGACTCTGACGAAGAAAACCAAACGGAAACTTTTAATCGTAATACGACGCTAGAGCATCGTATAAGTAAATCGGAAGAAAATAGTATGAAATCAAATGTGTTGAGAAATGGAAGCTTAATTAATTCGTCGGAACAACGGGTTAAAACAAGGTCTACGATAAACCGAAGATATCATCAGGAAACGCAGAATACTCCAACGCTTACTAGTTTAACTTCGAGTACTTCAAACAGGAATACTCTGAAATCGGTATATATCGACAAACAAACTTTAAATGATGAAAATATATCCGAGTTTGTGTATGAAAATCGCGGTAACAAGGAAAAATTAAATGAGACTAAAATGTCCCGTGTAATTCCGGCCGAAAATAACTCGAACGTATATTCTTGTAATTTACGCAACGATATTTCTTCCCGTGATGATGTATCAAAGAAAGATCACAGCCAAGATCGTTCTGTTGTAAACGTATCGCAACGTCGAAGGAACTTGAACAATTTTGTTACGAATTGTCCGGAAAGAGAGTTTTTAAAGCTACAAAATACCGAGAGTGTTACGCAAGGTATTCCGCAAACCAATCTACGACATCTAGTCGATTCAAAATTACAAAACGATCGTGACGTTTCGATGGAGATTGAAAAGGAGGGCACATACGAAAGCTGTGAATCCGTTAAAATTGGAAATTTAAAAAGGAGTCGGAGTAGAAAGCTGAAAGAAATGGAAACTAGAGAGTCAGAGTATTGTATTCAAATAAACGAAAACATCGTGATAGACAAAAATTGTACCGACAGTAAGAAATTGACAGTACCCTTGGTTAGACTAGAAGATCTTCCTTTGTATGAGAGATTACAACTGTTGCGTACTCCGCATTACATTGAAAAGAGAACGACGAGTCGAGAAGAGAACGAAACGCATTATCGTTCAACGACAGAGAAAATAAATAACAAAATAAGTATAACGAACAGACGCTTAAATAATTGTACGAATCAGACGACAGCTCTGAGTCATTCTTTCGAGAAACAGATGGAAAGTATACATCTGGATAAAAAGATTGATACGAATCGAAAAACAATCGACTTCATTTCGTTGAATCAATTTACTGAACAAACATTGAAGAGTAAGGAGACAGAAAAGGTGTCTGTCAAAGAATCGCACGATTATTCCATTCTGATTTCGGACGAACAATGTAACAGTACATTTGTCAATCGCAAATCGGTAGTCGTTAAAGAACATGTAAATTCTGAAGAAAACAGAATCCAATTGAAATCTGATAAATATCAAGCCGGTCGGTTATTGGAAAACATTTTGAATTTTTTTTTGAAACACAAACAGGATGTAACGAACAAAAGAAGAAAAAAGTCACAGTATTCGAACACGGAAGAGAAATGCGGCAAAAGGAAATGCGTTGCTATGTGTATCAAATGTAAGCAAATCTTTAATCTGTTGCAACAGTTTTCTGGTAAAATAGATTTCGTACGAGACGAACCATTGTCCATCGAATGTACGCTTTGCGACGTACAAATTAATTCGTTGTCTTGTTTTCAACAGCACATCATGAAGATACATTTACAGTGCGATGGAAATTTACCGGCTACGAAACGATCGTTCGCCGTTGAAATTATTAACGTCGATGGAGAATTGAGTAATAACGAGAGTGGTAGTAACAATAACAGAAATAATAATAGCGATAGCAATATTAGCAGTAACTTTCTTTTTGAATGCTGTTGTTGCTTAAAAAGTTATAAACGTATGAAGAATTTTAAAAACCATATCGAAAGAGTCCATTACAATTTCGACAACTCTGTATTGAATACCATGTTTAACACAGGTAAATATAAAAAAACGTACGCTTTCGATAAAAGTCCGATTGTTGATATTACAAATACGATATCGGAGATTTCTAAGCAACTGGAAAGATGCGTGATAGAAACACGTAATCAGGTGGATGGGTATTGTATCAACGCGAAAGATGTAAACGTTAAGAACGACGATAAGTCGATAGAAAATGTGGAACTTGAGAAAAGGATAAGCGAAGTGAAGCGTTCAATGATTACTCAAATTACGAGGAAAACTTCGACATTAGAAAACAATGTGAAAAGTGTAAATACCGAAGGAGAAAATTCAAATTTAAATGATTTTAAAGAATTTCCAAATACGAGTGATAATCGAGATGATACGATGCACGAAAAACCAAAGACACTTTGCAGACCCTCTTCGTACGTTTGTAACGTTTGTTTCAACAAGTTCAAGGGAAAGCACGTATTTTTATTACACATGTCGAAGCATTCAATAAATTCCAATATTAATAACACCGATGCAGCTGCAAACGAGGAACAAACGATACGAGAAATTTTCGGAGACAACGATATAATTAAACTCGAAGACAATGCACGTTTGTCAAATCTGTACGTAAAAGATTCCGAGGGTTACCGTGGTAATATTGTACCGTATAAAGACTGTAACATATTGAATTCTATTACGGTAAATAGGCATTTAGTAGACTCAAAATGTAAAATTTTAACATCGAAATTAATTAGCAAAGAAATTTCCAGCGATAAACATGAGAACTCTGATCGTATAATCAAAGAAGAAAATATTACGTTGGAGACAGGTGTGCTGGATTTTAATTATATGTTGTATGTAAATTTTACACAGAAAGGAGGAAGAGGTGTGAAAAGACGAAATTCGCTTAAATACAATATACACATAAGAAAAAAGTGCAAAACTGATGATACAATAAGAAATAATAATTTTATCATCGATGCAAATATGGAGGAAGTCATAGTGTATACACCGAAAGAAATACGTTGCAATGTCTGTGGTAAAAAATTCAATTCTCAGAGAATACTAAGGGAACATATGTTTTTTTTACATGATTCTATTTTCGAAGGTTTAGAGTTATCAAGCATCCTCCTAAATCATTACTATAAGATGGAAAATATGTCCCTACAAGATACCGATACATATAAAAGAGGATATAATGTTTCACCTAAAAAGGATCTATTGGAATTGTTTATGATGAAAAAGAAAAACATACGCGACAGAAGAAGAATCAATGAAATGTTTAGGAAATGCGATACAAACAAAAGAAATGGAAAGTGGCGTTGTAACCCGTGTAAAGAAAATTTTGCATTGATTAGAAACTACTTGCGTCATAAATACTATTATCACAACGATAAGTCTGTAGTCCATGTTTGCGATAATTGCAACAAAGCGCTCACTTCGGTTGCAATGGTGAATATTCATACGTGTACCAATGTCACATCTTGGAAATGTAAAAGATGCAATCTGAATTTCATCAATGGCATATCTTTAACGAAGCATAATATGAACAAACATTTAGAGACCATTGGTCCACATATATGCGATTTATGTAAATTAAGTTTCCTTACAAAATATATGCTAGAAAGACACAAGTCTGTGCATTCGACAATTTGTTATTATGGTAATGTAAACAATGTCACAGATTCATTTGCATCAGTGGAAGATCATTTTCCTCGTACTTTAAATAAGACAAACAGCTCTGACATTGATCTCTCCGAAGAGGAAACACTCTCGTTGAGTGATAAACGTGTCTTTCAAACGTGTTTGAACAAGCATCCAGAAAATGTTAATATATCCTTAGAACCGGAAGCTAATTTTACAGTTATATCTGTACTGTGCGATGACGAGGAAGTATTTAAATGTAATCTTTGCAACGTCGTGTGTCTTACAAAGATACAAATGAAATTCCATTTAGAAAAATGGCATAGTATTATAGTAGGAGTGTGTCAAGTTTGCAATGATTTGTACATTTCGGATGAACTGATGAAACATTTGATAACTCACCATATAGTCTTGGGCGAGTCGGACTTGAAAGAAGACGAAGATCTTCGAAATGATACAGCAAGAATTCTTGGACTGAAGCGTTTACTATCTCTTTACGAATATCACAGATTCGACAATATCGAAGAAAATCAATGTTTTAATTGTCACACGTGTTCGAAGGAATTTTCAAGCATACAGTTTTATCGAATTCATTATTTAAAGTTTCACGATACGATATGTTTATTATGTAACATAGAATTCAAACACAGTTTTCAAGCATTCGAACACAAAATTAAGATTCATATATCGGTCAAGAAATACCTTTGGGTAGTGAAACAAATAATTTCGACAATTTTGCAGTTCAATAATTACGGAAGTACTCTCGAAGATGTCATATTGCGATCTAGCGAAGTAAGAATTCACGATGAAAAATGAAAATACTGTCTTTTGTGTATATAATGGAAATAATAAAAATAATTCTACGAAGGAACTGTATTAAATTTATTTTAAAATACAAATGATATGTAATATATATATGTATACCAATTGAAAGTTATATTTTAAATAGAACATTAAGGGAAAATTAATTTTAATCAACCAACAGAGTTGTACCTTGTAGTAATAAGTATTTAATGTATTAATGGAAATTCTTTTCGAACTTGTGAGTGGTGTTCAAATTTCTTCGACGCGCATGCGAGAACAGAATCTGGCATCACAGGTCTACAACACTACGAGAAATAAAACTCTACATGGCGGATAAAATTCCCCACACTTTTATACTGGAAACCTAACCTAAAACCTAGATAAGTCGGTATCTCTAAAAAAAGGATAAAAAGAAGAAATAATCTCGACAAAGTTTATTATAACAAAAACCTAGCCGAGCAGAGAAATATCGATAATGCGTTGAACTCTCCACGCTCTATGGCGATCGTAATATGAATTGAATTAAATGAATAGCACGTCGTCTAACCGTAAATGAGTAAGTTTTATTTCTAATTCTTCTAATTTCTACTTGACTATAACACATAACGTATCAGTCGCGGATCTATTCGTTCGTTTTTACATTCATTTAATCTCTTTGTAACTCTTCCCTTAGCTCGGTTACCTCGGGATCGCTAAACCCGTACGGTAGCTATGATTAAAAATTCAACATAGCTACAGACCCTGAGGGTCGCCTAGACAAAGAGATTCTACGATATTATTTGACTATTAGTCAAAGATAACAATGGTACCCAGACAGCTCGACCGTATTTGCAACTTTTGCGTGCATTGAACTGTGGAAATTGGCAGCTTGAATCATTTTCTTAGTTGACATGGTGTATAATGGACCACATAGTACAATCAAAGAAGGTTGACCATGATTTACTTTCACAGTCATATACGAGAAGTGTTGAAAGGTAAATTAATCATTAATATATTAATATTAATCGTTCGACGAGTTCTTTACGGCTAATGCAAAATGATTTTATACAAACATTAAAGTATGAAAATGCTTATATGTATATTTGTTTTTTGCACTTGTTGTTCCAGATCAACAGGACTGCAAACTTGTACGTATGGTTTATCCTCTAAAGTTTTACAAAACAGGCAGGAATTTTGGAATAAGTTATTTCTCAAGTACACAGGACATGTATGAAAAATTTCTCTCTACGATACATGAATTTATTTTTTACGTTTCAGTCGATAATTAATAATAATTGTTTCGTTACGTTTCAGATATCAGATGAAACTGGAACCGACGACGCAAACATTGCCGTGCCAATAAAAAAGTCATTAATGTCTATACAGTATTGGGTAAATACTGGCTATCTACCTACCGATGCAAATGTGATACTAAGCGTACATTCAAAGAGTTGTACTTCAGTCGAGTCTGAATCATTCGATTTCTTAGATCATTGTTTTACGAGAGAAGCGTGTTACGAAAATTCTACCGCGAGCTCTGTTGATACTGCCGCGTACATTTTGTCGAACAATAATACAACGAGTAAAGTTGAAACCATGGCCATTGTAGAAGGTGCGAAGCACGATACGCAAGGAAATTCTAGGAACGTGATACAAACAAATTCGCACGAAATAGTTGATACGAGAAATACTTTGTTTCGTAACTCTGAACACTGTTACGATAAATTGTCGAACGAAAAACCAACAGGGACAATTTATGACCATACAAAGAGAAACTCTTTTGTTACACAGAACTCGTTGAACGTAGAGTCAACGAATACCAATAAAAGTATTCGCAAAAAACTGTATACTCGTACAAATTCACCTATCGATCTTCTTCACGCGAAAAGTGATAATAATTTGATGTCCAAGTCGAAAAAATACATACATCCTGCGTTAAGTTCCGGTTCTAAACGGAAAAAAAGGCATACAATTTGTATGAGAGGGAAATTAAACAAACGCTCGTTCGTGTTTAATAAAAATTTCACGGATGGCGATCGATTTAGACTTTTAAAAGAAAAATGTAGAAGAAGAGATCGTAGTTATTTCGATGATATTATTCCGTTATCCGATCTTCCTTCGAAGTGTAAAGGTTCGCTCGATAGAGGTAATTCTAGTACTATCAAGAATTCGACAACACATCAAAATTTAATACAATGCACGGATAAATCTTCGAATACGTCTAATAGCAAGAAATGCGAGAAACATCGTGAAGCGATAGAAAGAAGACAACATTTAAATCCGGTAGTTTGTTTAAAGCGATTATCAGAGTCTGATTTACAGAATTTTCAAGAAAAGAAGAGAAATACGAAAGTAAAAGATCTTGGCAATTTGAATCCAGTAGTTTGTTTAAGGCGGTTATCTGACAATGATATTAAAGTTACTTGCACCGATAATGCAAAGACGACAGGTACAAATAGTTCGTTACTCCTAGACGTTGAGGTGCAAACCAGCGATACGAATAGCACGCAACATTCAAGTTTTTTATTCTGTAAGCCAGAAAGCGTACATTTTGTCGAAGATACGGATAGTAGTTTAAGTACTCTTTTTATCTATAAATGCGAAAGTGGGATATTTCATAACGGTTTCTCTGCGAATAAATCGCTAATGTCGAGCAACAATCACCATCGGCTTGCCGCTGCAGCAAAAGAGGGGTTAAATAAAACAGATGGAGAATTGAATAGTAAATTCTTTCGTCAAAATTTTATATCAAATGTCTGTTCTAGGTCGAAAATAATGGCAGACAATATCAGACATTTGCACGATGGTATTCGTGATAAACGCAAAGATGAGGATATACGTAAAATAAAAAAATCGAAAATTTTTCATAACATACAAATTTCCAGCGATTCGTTTTTCAAGGAGAATTACGAGCGAGATGCTATTCGCCCGTTAAATGTATCCGTTAATTCGAGTATCACATCAGCTTCGGTTAAGTCGAGAGACATTTGTAAAAATAGGTTTAACAATAATTTCAATGTAAATAACGACGAGCCATGTTTATCGTTGGACGAAGACGACGGGTTTGTAAAACTTGTACACAAGTATTATTCTACCTGGAAGTAAGCCGCTAAGGGTACTCTGTCGTTGCGAAGAACTCGACATCAGCTTCCATTTAGTCAATAAAAGATATTGAAGCGCAAATGAAGAGTAATAAAGGAATATTTTTGATACCCATTTCTCGAAATTCAGCTTGACGATGCCTACCATTCGGTATCTGGTATGTATGTTACCTTCAATTTTTAATGTTTGTTAGCGAGAGGATAAGATTGTATTTATGTTTTATATAAACCTTCGTAGTAAATAAATATTGTTACTTTTAGTTTTGGTTTATCTTCCTGAAACATACAGATATAAAAGTACAGATATAACAGAAGATCTAGTTTAAGATGATTTAAAAGAAATTTGAAGTTTATGTGTATGAAAGGGGACGAGAGAGGGAGAGGGAGAGGGAGAGAGAGAGAGAGAGAGAGAGAGAGAGAGAGAGAGAGAGAGA